AGCTAGGTGGGGAAAGGTGTGCCCGCCAGTTTCGAACCCAACTTACTAGCTAGCACTTTGAGCGTCCTCCAAAATTTTCTTCTTCAGCTGGTAAAACAAATGCACAATGCTAGAAATCTTGGCGATATTCATCACACAGAGGCCATAATATCCCCTTCGGGTGCCTGGACTTCGCAGATACCCTTGCAAACTCAAAGGGGAAAACATTATATCCCTGTGGGCCTGAGGCCCTAAGACCCACCCTATCGCAGTACACCCTCTCTTGATGCCCCCGTTCCATGATGCATGCGGTCGTACGGAAAAGGCGTGTATTAACGGGAGCACCTGAAAACCTACCTATCGGGGTAGGGCTACCCACAAAGTTCTCTCTCCCTCAGCAACTAGTAAAGCACATGCAGTCGATCTCTCCCAGACTTTTCTTCTTCAGTTGACAAAATGAATGCACAACGCTAGAAAAATGGGCAAGGGCAAGATTTATTGCAGAGGCCAAATAGCAAATGACAATATATCCCAACACCTTTGACGGATGGCCCACTGATGCTATCGCAGTCGTAATTGAACGTATCAATTATCACATCTGGCAACGATTGCCCCACACCCCCAAGATCCATCGCTACCCCGTAATGCTTAACCTTAAATGTTGAAAATGGGGGCCATAATGCACGTAAAGTGCCTCACGCAGTGCTGTGGCCGTAAGCTGGAATCTTGTGCAAAAAAAAGTGGAAGAAATGATCTTGATTCAAACAAGTCGACCAACATGAGCCTTCAAACGCGTGTTTGGAGAGAACAATTTTGCGTGCCAATACTGTCGAGCTGCCAAGGGTTGGACGGTTGGACCCCCTTTTCTTTCATTACAAGGAACGTGAAATGAAGTCCCCTGTGCAGCATGGTGTGTGATCGGGCATCGAAAACCGTGGGGCAGGCCAGCCACAAGAAGGCTTCCCCCCACCCCCTTCCCACTGCCCACATATGGTTATGCAGAGTGCACTGACGGCGGCAACACCCTTCTCTCCAACGAGTTTGTCCCATATTTGAAATCCAAGAATATCCAGATATCGACTTCTGTCCGTGGCCGAACATATAACAAGAATCGGACGGCACAGAAAGCTGCAAAACACTGACTGACCAATGGTCAAGGACAGGTGCATTCCATTGGCGAAATCTCAATCATTTGTGGTGGGTGGTACAGTGGACCATCTGACTGCGGGATAGATAACCCCCGCGACCCCGCCCCCCCCGACGCCCCCATGGCCCCCCCGGGGCCCCAGCTCAATCAACCCTGTAAGTGGTGGCTCCGCACCGATGAAGGGGCCCGACTCCATCTTGGCAATGACTCCCCCTAGTGTCCAATCATCATTTGACACAGGCCCAGCACAAGCTAAATCAGGGAACTGCATGAGCAGAGTACAGCGGACCCTCGGACCGCAGGATTACCCCCCGGCAGAATACTCCAAGCGGGTGTGCGGTGATCACGAGGGCACACCCCACCCTGACCTAACGGCTATCCTCCGATGCGTCCAATCACCATTCAACAATGACTCCCCTTAGTGTCCAATCATCATTTTACACAGGCCCAGCGCAAGCTAAATCAGGGAACTGCATGAGCAGAGCACAGCGGACCCTCGGACCGCAGGATTACCCCCCGGCAGAATACTCCGAGTGGGTGTGCGGTGATCAAGAGGGCACACCCCACCCTGACCCAACGACTCTCCTCCGATGCGTCCAATCACCATCCAACAATGACTCCCCTTAGTGTCCAATCATCATTTGACACAGGCCCAGCACAATCCATGAGCAGAGTACAGCGGACCCGCGGACCGCATAATTAACCCCTGACAGAATACTCCACGTGGGCGTGCGGTGATCAAGAGGGCACACCCCACCCTGACCAGACGCCTACCCTCCGATGCATCCAATCATCATTCAACAGGGGCGCAAATGAATGGTATTTTTAGGTCTGGTGATGACCCGAATGTCAATTTCGTTAAAATTGAGATCTTTCTTTTTTTTATGGTCTTTCCCAGGATGCAAGAAACGTGGACTCGTTTTCATGGGCGGTCCAGTATCACATTCCTGAGCAAGGGGGGAAGAAGGAGGACGAGAAGGGGGAAAAGGAGGAGCTGTAATGGAACTGGAGTCCCTGGGCAGACGATGCAGTTTTTAAATGAAAAATTTGTACAAAATCAGCTGTCTCAAAAACTCCTTTTCTGCCCACTTTTGCTCACTTTCAACTTTGTGCATCAAGGAAAGAAAAAAATCTCAATTTTAATGAAATGACCTTTCGAATAAGGGGAGGGAGGCGGGGGGTTGGTTAGCGATGGGGGAGGTGGGGGGTGGGGGGTTACAGGTGGTGGCTAATATCAGGGGATGCAAGTATAAAAAACAGAGTGCGAGATCAGATACTCATATGCATACGAATCAACCTCGAGGGCTGCCACGGTCAGCTGGCGAAATCTCCGTCGCAGCACAGCGAGCCATCCAGCCACTGCTTGATGGCCCAGCCGAGTCCTCGGACGTGACCTGCATTGAGGCAGGAGCCTCGCTGGCATTGCGCCTGTGGTTGGGGCCAGTTAATCGCGATGCAGACTGTACCTCTCCTGCAGTGACACCCCCCTTACTTCCCTGTCTTCCACTGTCGTCTTCTACCGTAACGCTGCTTGGATCTTTCTGCTTGCTCCTACCTGAGTCCACACCACTACCTTCCTTGCCTTTGGTCAGCATCTGGACGGATGGTGACGACGAACCCTGCAGAGTCTTCGCAGCTGTGGATGCTTCACTGGAAGCTGCATCCGACTTGACCGGGTACAGGTCTCTGTTCTGTCCGGTGCTGGATTCTGATATGGTCCTAGGAGCCGCCCTCTTGTTGCTACACGGTAGCCTTGGAATCGGTGAGAGTCTCTCCATGCATGATGACACTGGGTGTCCTCTTCGTCCTTGCCGCCGGAGCAAGATGGTCCTCACTAACTTTCCCATAAACTGCAAAGAGATACATTTCACACACAGAGGGGGGAGACGGGTCACATATTGAAACAGAGTAGCCCCTAACGGCCCTTATGCCAATATGCCCCCAAGATTATTGTATAATTTTCAGCTATGTTTATGCTATGTTTCTACTACATTTGTGCTAAGTTTATGCTATGTTTGTGCTATGTTTGTGCTATGTTTATGCTGTGTCTGAGCGATGTTTGTGCTTGAGAAGTTTTACTATGTTTACTATTGCTATACACAAATAATCCAAGGTAGTCTCTGGACTTAACTTTTCACAGCATGAAACACCTTGCCACACCGGGGTGAACACTCGCAGTGCCTTACCCTTCTGTCCAACTGCTCAGGCAAAGAGGAACCTGAAGCTCCAAAAAGTTTCTTTTATCCTATCCGAAGTAACAACTCCTACAGCCGACTACATCCAAAAAGACGGCGCCGTCAAAAACCCCAACAGATAGCCGTTGTGTGAAAGCCAACTTCTAGCTATGTTGGTGCTATGTTTGTGCTATGTTTGTGCTAAGTTTGTGCTACGTTTGTGCTATGTTTGTGCTTGCTATGTTTTACAATGTTCACTGGTGATATGTTTGTGATATGTTTAAGCTATGTTTGTGCTATGTCTGTGCTATGTTTGTGCTATGTTTGTGCTATGTCTGTGCTATGTTTGTACACGTCATAATAAGTGATTTTGTCATTGTGCATCCTTCCCCCCCCCTCTTTGGCGTTTTGCATACTCTCATGTGGTCAATATGGTCTATTTATAAGATGCACTTTTTTGTTAGCTGAATGAGCGTAACACCACCTCCTCATCGTTCCTCGACAGGAAACAGAGAAAACACAGTGAGGGGGACTACAACAGAGGAGGAGAATTGTGGACGTTCACGAGAGCGGGGCCAGGGGGCCAGGCTTTGAAAGCACAGGTATCAGGACTACAACACAGGGAGCCAGGGAGAGGAGGAGGATGATTGACGTTCGTAGAGCAGGAGCAGGGGGTCAGGTTTTGAATGCTGGCTGCATTACCGTCGGAGCTTTCCCCAGCGTCGATGATGTCCCTGCTCTTCTGGGTCGCATCCCTGCTCCGCAACCTTCCGTAGGAGATACTGATGCCTCGTTCTCCGCAGCAATGTCGGATTCATTCTCAACAGGAGGAGGAGGACGAGAAGGATCAGTGTTGAGGGACTCTTTGGACCCTTCTGACTCTTTGGACTCGGTTCCCTCTCTTCTTCTGGCCGTCATGAACTTTGACTTTGCGTTTCTCGGCAGGGTCTCCTTAACCGTGCCTGCCTCGTCCTCCTCAATCTCGTCCAGGTGCTCGCTGCTTGCCGGGCTTTGAATAGCAGGAAGTCGCGAGGGCTCCATCTCATGCTTGAGCTCTAGCCATGCCTTTCGCAGCCTCCATATCTGTTCCTCGTAAAGCTCCAGGTTCACTCGACTAGTCTTGAGTTCTTTCTCCTGCTTGTCAACTACATTAGCTATGGTGTCCAGATCGACAGAGGCTTCGCCGAGCTCATGGCTGACCTTGGCAGCAACGACTTGGAGCTCCGCCTCCAAGGCATCCATCCTGCCAAGCTTCTTCCCCGCCTCTTCCGCTTGGGTTTTCGCCATATCTCGTTCCTGTTTCACAAGCTCCATCTGCGCCTCCATGACCTTCATTCCTTGCCTAAGATTCTCAACAGCATTCTTCAACTCTTCGACATTCCTCTGCAGCTTCTCCCGGCACGAGTCCTCCATAGCCATCTTTGCCTCCGCCACCATCTGCTTCTCCAGCGCCTGCTGCAGCTGCCGAGAAAGTACAGTGATCACCGATGATGACTGTTCGAGCCGCCCCCTCAGCTCCGTGCTGTCTGTGCTCGAGGAAGTCCTGTCCTCGATCCTATGAACAACCACTTCCTCCTCCACACCACACACTTTTTCATCTCCACCCAATCCAGCAGCACCCTTCGCTGGGGTTTCCTCCTTCCTTTTCTGCTGCTGCTGCTGCTGCGGCGGCTGTTGCTCATCCTTGTCCTTCCCATTTGCCTCTTGGATCCGACTGACTGCCTCCGTTCTTGAATCTCTGCTACCGCCTCCTCCTCCCAATTCCATCCCTCCTCGAAGGCCTCTCCCCTTGTCAACCCTCCTCCTTGCCTCTCTTTCTCTCTCTCCTCCATCCTTCGGGTTTCGCCCCTCAGACGACACTCTGCTACATCCCTGGTGGGCTGTCGACTGCTGGGAGCAGGCAACTGTCCTTGAAGACCCCTTCTTCGCCGATCCTCCATTGCAGCTGCTTTCCTTTGTTAAAGTATCTTGAAACTGACCTCTTCCCTCCACTCCTCCTCCTCCTCCTCCTCCTCCTCCTCCTCCTCCTCCCCCTCCTCCTCCTCGCGGAGGTGGTACTTTATTGATCTTAACCTTTGCGCCTCCTGTTTGCTCTTCTCCAATCGTACCCACAACCGCGAGCTTCGCCAGCTTCTCCAGCATCCTCGACTGGATCCGATGACGATGCTGATGATTATCTTGATCGTCGTCATAACTGGGTTTCCTATCCGGTGTGCATTTCCTTCTCTGAGACTGTGTGCCCATGATCGGTCGCGAGGACTCTGACGGCTGTCCCTCTGCGGCTAAGTCTTCTGCACACCGACCCCTCACAGGCACCAATCTTCCCACAGAGTCCACCATCCACCCTCTCGAGTTCCTTAGCGACGATGCTCGCCGAGCCTTTGCCATCCTCGGGGTATAGGTCTCTCCATTCATCCCGAACAGCTGGTGGCCATGGTGGATGTCACTTTGCAGCAATTCCCCTCCCATCATGGACACCCTCCTCATATTCATCGGCTTGTCGGCTGCCGATCCTTGAGCTGTCGCCGCCATACTTTCTCCAGAATACATTGCTGCTCCCAAGCATGAGCTGGCTTTCTTATTTCCCCCCCCCCCCCCAACCCCCCCCCCCCTCCTCCTCAGGATCTCCTCCCCCCGACATACCTGCCCCACCCTAGGTTTCACTATCCTTACCTCCTCTCTTGCTGTGACAGCTCTTCCCACATACCCTGCAGCGTCCATGTCTCGCACCGCCACCCTCTCTCTCGAGTCCTGTTTCCTCGGCTCTCCACTGAATTCTGAAGACCCTGACACACAAAGCAAACCACCAGTCAGAGTAGCGGTCACACGTTTTCTTTCTTTTTCTTCCTCCCTCCGCCCCCCACGAAAAAAAAGAAGACCACTTCTTACTCAAAGTCCATGGGAGAGAGCTGGCTTCTGTTGACTGTGCTGGCCACGTGCACATTCGCACTGTTAGACCAAGCTGGCTTTTAATGCAAGCGACAGGAAAGCCTGGGAAGCTGTTTGTTTCCTGTCTTTTTTTTTTTTTTTTTTTTTTTTTTTTTTTTTTTAATGACTTTCTTTTTTGAGGCTGTGTCAAAACTCTTAGTTTGAAATTGGAGTAAGGACCTGCCAAAACAAAGACTGAGAACATTACTGATCTCTCTGAGTTTTGCGCTGGAATGTATGCCTTGCTGAGATTCCTGCATTCTGCTGAGTTTTCGAAGTCTGTGCATGTGTGTGCTTGCTGGTCCGTGTGCGCGTCTGAGTGCTTGTCAGGCTGAGTGTGTGTGTGGACCATCTTCTTCTTCTTCTTCTTCTTCTTCTTCTTCTTCTTCTTCTTCTTCTTCTTCGTCGTTGTCGTCGTCGTCGTCTTCTTCTCTTCTTTGGACTCTCTCCCCGCTCAAGTTCATTCATTTCTTTTTGCAATTGGAAAGCATTGTATTTCCTTGTGTATTTGCACTTCGGAATTGGCCAGGATCCTAGCATCGGCAAGAAAAGATAAAGTGGCGCTGTAGTCATGGGGTGGGTTTGAAAATTTGCAGTTTTTAGCGTAGGTTCAAAACCGTGCAAATCATTAGCCGCTGTAGTGAATGCAATTTAGCGCTGCCTTTTTCGCCATTTTTTGAGAACTGCTAAACTTGCCCATTCTGACTTGAGGTCCCCTATATTCAGCCCAACTTTGTTCTCATAACATAGCAGATCACCTGCCAGCCTCCCAGTCACCCCTCCACCACCACCTGCCCCAGACACCCTATCCCCTGAGTGACACAGTCATTCTTGTCCCCAGTGACTCTGCCCTTCCCTTTACACCCCCCCAGCACCCTCTTTCTTCCCCCCCTCTCTTATACACATCTAGATGTGTATAAGAGACAGATGTCTGTCTGTCTGTGTGTGTGTGTGTGTGGCAGCCAGTGTGTGTGTGTGCGTGTGTGTGTGTGTGTGTGTCTGTGGGCTGTGGGGGGGGCTGGTTTGGGGTGTGACCCTCCCCCAACCAACCCACCAACCCACCAATCAATCAATCAATCATTCAATCAATCAATCAATCAATCAAAAAAAAAAAAACCAATCAATCAAAAAAAAAAACACCAATCAATCAATCAATCAATCAATCAATCAACCAATCAATCAATCAATCATTAAAAAAAACAATCAATAAATGAATTTTTATTATTATTATTACTTTTTAATTTGTTTTGCTACCTATCAAAATCAACCCCCCCAAATTTTTAATTTTTTTTTTTTTTTTTAATGCAGGCCGATGGCGGCCGACGTGCGCAGGCCGAGCACGCGCCCCCGCCTGGGCATGGCGCGGCCGCACGCAAACTCGGCCGGGCAGCCTCGGCCGCGGGCCTGCGGCCTAGGAGGTCGGCCGCGGACTTGGATCCTGCGGCCGCGGCCGAGGGTGCCACGTAGTCTGGATGAGATGTTGTCGAGTTGCTTTCCCGAGAACTTTGAATGCCCCAGTGCTATTCTTACCCTACAGGATGGACTCGATGTCAAGAGTCGTTACCATGGTCTGGTCCTGACTCCTCTTGATCGGAATAATGTGTCCTAAGACCTATTTTGAGGCAATGATGAACACCTTTGTCAGGAACCCCAGTTATAAGATTATGGTTGTGGATGAGTCTGTGATGTTGAGATAGGTCCATGAAGACATTAACACCGCTGTCCTCTGGAAGTTTGCCAGATGGGATACTAAAGGATGTGTTGGGTCAACTTATGTCATCCCGAAGCACAAGCACCTGGCACGTTACCGTCTCATCTGTCCAGCCTTTGTTGAACCCATGGTACCGACGAGTCGGGCGGTATCAAAGGCTCTGAAATTTTTGTTGTCCACAGCGCCTCAAAGCTGACACTTTGCAACGAGCCTCTTAGTTCAACACCAGTGAGCGCACACAATCACACCACATGCATGTATGAGATCACACGAGATTCACACTGGAGACCAGAGAGATGACCAAGTGGCGTAGCTCAGAATTCCAACAAATTATTATCATATAAACAATTAAGAGTTTCGGTCACAGGCGCTCAACAGCGCAACCCAAGTATGCAGTATCTTCACTCATGTATGTCTCTCTTCCAAAACTCTTCTGCCTCCTCTCTCTATGTTGATCTTCTCTCTGTCTACCACCTCTCTGTGTCTTCTCTCCCTACCTGCATGCACTCACACATCTACTATTGAAGGACCTACTCTGAATACACCCACTGATATGCCTACTAACCCTCTGGAGTCTACCACTAACACTCTGCACTGGCACAGCTATGACTGCCTTCCCTCTGCCAGCGCTATCTCTTCCTCTCTCTAAGCGCAGCACTCTGGCTTCAGCGCTCGGCACTTCACAATAGCGCACAAGTGCACCAGCACTTCCACACTTCATGCGAATGAGCAATCTACCCAAATGAGGAGGCTGGTCAGTCCTTTTGTAGTCTTGGATTGCACTTCAACTCGTGCCAGCCTCTGCTTCTTGGCGCCTGACTGGGTCCCGGTACCACATCCCCACGGCCTGTCTGCTTTCGAATGTCAAGGCCTAGAACCTTCTCGAATTTCCATCCGTCTGCTGCTGCTTGGTCCTTTGAGTCATGACTGTTCGATTTTGGCATATGGTTTTGACTGTGGACTGTGACTGCGGCCTCTGGGTCACAACTCCTGCCTGTGGAGTCGCCTTTTTACTCATGGATGTGACTCTTCAATACGACTTTTCATTATGAGACGTGATTCTTGCCCCTAAGATGTGACTGTCTGCTGGGTGCCTGTTGGACCGGACTGCTGAGGAACCCGACTGTGACTTTTCTGAAATTGACTAGCTCGGCCTTTGTCGACCAGGGCCTCTGACCCTGAGACCCGAATTTGGGGTCCGAATCGGGGAAGGCCTTTCAACCTCAACTTGCCTGCAGTATCACTGATAGGCTGGCACTGCTCAATTCAAAAATCCATCAAACTATGTCGTCCCTTGGAGCTGATGGCACAATCCTTTGATATCAAGGATAGGTTTAGGCGCCTTCCTCACTCAGATATTCAAAAAGCATTGGAGTGGCTGTTGGATTTTCACCAGGAGAAGGGACAAAATTTTGTGAGAGTCAACACGAGGCGAAAGGGCGGCACTTTTGGAAGAACGACGGGGGTGGACCACTGGAGAGTTCTGGAATTGGATGACTTGATGAAGTTTCTCCAGATTGAGCAGAGACACACGTACACTTTTGCTACTGCGGTCCTGCTTCGACATGATGTGGGGATCTTGATGGGTAAGAGCACCAGCCCCCCCCACTCAGCTGTGTTTTATGTGCGTATGCAAAGTGTACGTTCCTGCGAAGTTCGGGGAAGTACGCACGTACGCACGACAGGTCTTTGGAATTCGTCTGGTTGATGATGTGATCGTGGTAACCGCTCCCTTAGGGTCAGATGCCACTACCCTGGATTATTCATTTTTCACCCTCGATTACGAAGATCAACGGTCAGAAATGAACAATAGGGGCCAGTGGGATCTGGCCCTTATCCGGGAAGACGCTGGAGTGGATTACGCAACAATTCTCCAAGTGCTACCCTAAGAATCTATGTTTGAAGAGAACAGATAACGGTTCCGGTATACTGGAATTCCTGGGTTGTGAGGTTAGGTGTTCAAACTCCTACCCTTACCTGGGTTGTGTCCAGATGTCCAGGAACGAACACAGCGTATGGCGGTCCTCTGGGGACCTCGAGATTCGGAATTATGGCCAATCCTTTCTTTCTTGGAGCAGCGAGCAGCAAAAGAGTGCTACAATTAGCAGTCACTTACATCGGATCGAACAAAATGCTTCTCTCCGCTGTGAGATTCCCGGAAGCGTCCTCTCACTCGGACGTGAGCTAAGGATCAAAGACGTTCAGTCAGATTTTGCAGAAATGAGGCTTCGTAGATTTGTGCTTAAAAAAGGACGTAGATTTGCGCTTAAAAAAGGACGATGTTTGCAAACTGGCCTTGGATGGTTGGTACTGTAAGGTCATATGATAGGCGATATTTGGACAGAGTTATTCTGAGAATGATGCTCTGTAGAAGTTTTCTTGTCTCATTTTCATGAATTTTCTGTTGAAGTTTTCTGAGAATATTCGTTATGGGACGCTGGGCCCGGTTCCCAGTTTGTGCCAATTTGTGAGGACATGGTTGTATCTATGGGACGCTGGACCCGGTTCCCAGCAGGTGCTGCTCCCCACCAATAGATGGAGCTTTTCTCCAAAAAAAAAAAAAAAAGAAAAAAAAAAAAAGAGAATGATGCTCTGTAGTAACAGTGATCAATGGTTAGCAGTNAAAAAAAAAAAAAAAAAAAAAAAAAAAAAAAAAAAAAAAAAAAAAAAAAAAAAAAGCCCGGGGACTCTCTTAGGAATGCTGGATAATTCCCTGATCTGATCCCCCCTTCAGAGCTTGCATTGGTAGATCTACAGTGGTTTGGTTGGGGGGGAGGAGGGTGGGGGTGGGGTGGGAAGGATGCTGATGCTCAGGATCATCAACCTTAAAGATCCTCATTGGGGGATACAACCACTAGGAAATAGAGTTGGATCTGGGGGCCCACATTGGGCTGAAGAGGTGGTTTGCTCCCCTTGAACTGCTTCGAACGACTTATTATGTTGCTATACTCTGTTCGGGACGCTGGACCTGGTTTCCGCTCTCCACCAGTAGATGGAGCCTGCACCGGCACACTTCCTGGGGACGCTCGTAACACCTTGGAAAAAAAAAGAAAAAAGAAAAATAAAAAGCACTGTTTTATCCCAAAATAACTGCATAACCATGATCATAACATGCTCCTTGGCTCAATGTTTAATGTAATGGGACGCTGGACCCAGTTTCCAGCAGGTGCAGCTCCCCACGAATGGCACGGAGCCATCTACGAGCGGGAACAGTAGAGGGGGAGTCTGCTCTTACCAGCAACCCCACCACTCCGCGTCGCCGATGTTTTCAAAAAAATCCTGACAAGTAAAAAATAAAAAA